GGCCCCCCCAGGCCCCCCCCCAGCCCTGAGGCCCGCCACGTCCACACGCTGGCCACGGAAGGGTTCCAGGAGGTTCTAAGAGAATTAGGCAGCGTTTTGAACAGAGCCGACAACCTCTCACCCGTATTTGTAATTTAAATAACGCGAGCTTGCGGAGCGTCTCCCTGGGGCACCGTTTAATAACTTAAAAAGCAAGCTCCTCTCCGGTGCGCACGGAAGGCGCCCTCCTCCCTCACCGCTGAGGCGGCCCCCCCAACCCCACGCTGCGGGCCGGTGGCTCGGAGGGGCAGCGCTGAGCACAGGGGCGGCCCAGGCCGAGCCCCCCAGGGGCCGGACACCCCTCCTCAGCCCCACGCGGCCCCTCACTCTCCCCCTCCCTGGGCCTGCGGGGTCCCAGGGCAGTGGGCAGAGGGGGCGGCGGGCGGCGGGAGGGCGTGCCGGGCCTGTGCCGGTCACGGTCACCCGCTCCTCAGCGACAAGGCCTCCACACACTCCTCTTAACATTCAGAGCTGCCCTCATCTGCATACCGCGCCATAAATAGTCGAGGTAAGACACAAAGCTCCCTGCGTTTCTAATTATGCTTAAAAACCTGATGTAAATCAGACCGACACAGAAACACTAAATCAGCCACTGGGGGCGGGGGGGGGGCATCCAATTACATGGAGACGGGGCCGAGGCCCCCCTGGCCTGGAGCTGGGCGGCGAATCCCAGGCCACACCCATGCTGGCCCTCAGCTGAGTCAGTGTGGGGCAAGGAAGACACCGGCAGCACCTCAGGGACCCACCACCCCCTCCCCTGGGGCCGGCCAGCCCATCCCGCCTTCTCCCGAGGGGCCCCTTCCCTGCCCGGGACAGCCCGCCACCACCCCACACAGGTGCCCGGGTCCTGGGCTCCCCCTGGCCACACGCGGGTCACCCCTCGGGCAGGGATTATCTCCATCTTCTTGTCCAGAGGGGCACCCGAGGGTGGCACTGGCTCAGATCTCAGGGCCCCTGTGGGCTGGACTACAGCTGGGACACCCAGTGAGCCTGAGAGGGCACAACCAAGAGCAGGTGACCGGCCCCGCGCTCAGCCTGGCCTCAAGCCCCGCAGGCCAGCGGGCACCGCCTCTGCCCTCTCAAACAGACCCGAGACACCCGGCGCTGGTCCTCACCCCCAAAGGCAGCCAGGACCAGCGCAACTTCCGGCCCAGGAGCTGGGGCTGGCGCACCCCACTCCACCTCCGGGGCCACCTCAGGGGACCCGCAGGAGGCGCAGGCCCGAGTGACACGGGGGTTACCCTGCTCTGCCTTTAGAGAGACGCAGAGATGCCTGCCTGCTGCCCGCATCTGCCTGGCATGGCGCCCAGACCTATTTTTAAGCCCATTTACTAGAAATCCCACAAATTAAAGGAAATACGAATAATGCAGTAAGAATCCTGGGGGCCGAATAAAAGCTGCACATAATTGCCCTCGCGCTCCGGCGTGAGAATCTTAACCACAAACCCAGATCTCCCCGAAGCCCGTGCGCTCGGAG